AGTCTTTCGCATTGGGTACGCGTGCCACCTATTATAATCCTCGGTTGTTTTTCAGGTGGTACAAAACGACATAAAGCCATCTAGCTGACACATGTGGCTGATAAACTTCTGTGATTCATCCATCCAGGCATATGCTAGTCAAAACTACCATCAGCTTACTTCCGAGCAGCCTTTAGTTAGCAAGGTCAACAACCTTGCTAAAAGTTGAAGCTGCTGGCAAATTATTTATAGTTGAATCACTTCCTGAGAGAGCTTCTCCCTCAAAAAATTGTGATATGAGGTGAGTGACTTCGCGACTTGACTTAAGGCGTCCTGCTGTACCACAAAGAACTCATTCTGCAGATTCTACCAAGACGTAAACGAACTGGAAAAGGCAACGAAAAGTATACCGAGATAAAAAGTGAATGCGGTTGTGGTGTATATACAAATCGAAATGTGCTTGACACAAAACAAGCTTTTGTAATCTCTCTGTCTCCAAAGTTTCGAATCGGAAGGACTGTGCCAGTGCTCCAACATCGTGTTTCTTGTTAAAAAAAGGATTTCAGGCTGTCTTTTTTAGAATTTAGGAAAACAAAGTTTGACAACTGAGCGAAGAAAGAGCAAAGCAAGCGGAAGACAATGGCACAATAGATTAACTTTCTATGCGAAAATTCAGTAACTTGCAATCCTTCCTCTGTCTTTTGCCGCTTCCTCTTTCCAAATGTTCCTTACGTCGCTATCTTCAATTCCTCTTTCCCCAGAATTTCTGACCAGTGTCCATCCATTTGCCTGCTAGAGAACAGGGGACCAACCACCGATTCTTTCACTCGATCGAGCTGTCAAGTGACATGATTCGCATCCAAAGCAGCCACATTATGAGAACGCGCCGACTCACGAGTCGAGTTATTTCGAGAACTCATATCACGAGGCTCTTCTTTGTGATCGAATACGCGATACTCCGGATTGGTCATATACCAGTGTAACATCAAATCGTACAAATACTTGTATTCATCCTGCAAACAGTTTAAATCAGTTTGCTTTTTAGAAAAATCGAAAGTGGACCATCGATAGGCTTATCAACTGTTGTTTGCTGTTGACACTTGTTATGCGTTTTTGCCGTGCAGTGCTAGAGCGCTGCAACAGGCAGCAAAAACGCATATTGCAACGA